CTTCTGTTTAAGTATTTTAACTTACCTAATATTAAAAATACGATAATCGAAAATTACTTTGAAGGAAATCAAATCCTTTTTTAAAACCCTATTTCAGTGTAAGAACCATAGGCCTTGTTCTTCTCTTCAATTTTCCTATAGAAAACACCTATAATTCCTCTAACTTTATTTTTGCGGTAGTTTACGAGAACTATAATTCCCGGGAATTATAGTTCACAATGAACTATTGTTCACTAAAAGTAAGACCAGTCTTCACAGTTTCTTTTCGTAAACTAGTTCATTTGAATTAGTTCGTTCAGTAACTACCTGTCGCTAAGATTTACAGAGTCGCCCAAATTCCTGGTGAAATCGAATCAATCTGCCCCGATTCAACCACAGTGCAAAAGGTGACTCTTATTGTTTGCCTGTAATTTGTGTAAATAGGTCTAATGAAAAACTTGACATATATAATTGCGTAAATAAGTGCAATTTTGTCTGTATTGTTTTAGTCCATATTTAAACTAAAGGAAGTATTATAGACATAAAATTTATTTTTATCTACAATATATTGACCATTATTTAATGCTATTATCATAGAATGTCTGGAGTTTATTGTTAAAAAACTGATCAAGTGGTTTTGATGTCCTTTTCGTTTTAGAATTTCTTTCTATTCATGGAGTTCTGCAGAGACCGGAATAAGTGGTAGTCACTTGGAGCTAGGTCTGGTGGGGCAAAAGGTCCCATCCAAGGCTCAATAATAATAAACATAAAAAAATATATATCTATAAAAATCAAAAGGGCTTATTTGCCAACCCAATAATTGCTGGTACAGATCCCGTTTTATCAAATTATTAACATCCGCCCGAAACTTCGTAAATAGCTTCATCTCATCATAACTTACAAATATTTTATTTACGTAAATTCTCGGAATCAGGGTGTTTTCAATCTGTAGATCGTCAAACTTTGTCTAGTTAATTTGGTTCTAAATGCCCATTTACTTTCCACTTGAATCGTAATGTAAATTGTGCTAAGGCTCGAGAAAAAATGTGTCCTTCTAAGATATAAAGCCGTATGGTGAGACCAACACTCCCAAAATGTCAAATTAACGAGGTTGTATTGGCGAAACGGTGCAATATTTTTTCGTGATTTTGTGATCAAATCATCTTACAATTCAAGTAGGAAGCAAATGAGTATATACGAGTTTTTACTACCCACTTGAATAGACAAAGTTTACCAACCTCCAGATTGAAAAGGTCCCAATTCCAAGAGTTTTCTTAAATAAAATAGTGGTAAGTTACGATGAGATGAAGCTATTCGCGAATGTTAATAATTCTGTAAAGAGAGGTCTGTTCCATGGACTATTAGATCTTATCACCTTTATAATCTTTATAACTTAAGCAGCACAAACCAATTGCAGAGACCACTGGCGGAAATTTCTATTTGAAAATCTGAAATTTTTTTTTGTGTGTTGATTTTTCTATAGAACTAGAGTAGTGTCAATTAATTTATCTTTTTTTATATTTTTGCTTTGGAAATAATAGACATTTGCACTGTATCGAAAGTCGTCAGTGGATGGTGGGATTGCGTTTCTATCCGTTTTAGAACCCATAAATAATGATTATGAATTTTTCAGAGATGTCAGTTATACATATATTTTCCTTCTGATACATTTCGGTCCCTTTTTTCTACATTTCTCTCCTCCCCCAGCGGCCATTGTTGGTTTGAATTAGCTGAAATCCGGTATCTGATTGTAAAATCATGTATTGATTTTCAAGATACGCCTTTTCCTAATATAAAAAAAAATCATTGAAATCAGGCCATTTATTGCTGTGGCATGGCTTTTTAAATTTTGTAATTCTTTTTTCCTATGGAAATTTGATCCTTATTTTTTGATTTTTTTTTTATACATGAAATCAATAAATCTACCCATAGAGTCCTAATTATGGTTTGAAATGTTTTCTAGTTATCTACATAGGTTATTAAAAAATAATATAAGTAAATATCTTTTAAACGACCTAACCTAACCTTTACATATTGGTTTTATATTTTTTTAAATAATATCATTGTGGTTAATCATTTGCAAAACTTTTATTCCTCTATTTAGCATCAATAAAATAAATGAATTTAAAAAAATATATAAAATAGGAGAGAGATAGAATCTCACAGAGCTCTGCCCCTCGTTTTTTTTTTATAGTATAATTTTCTTTGTTATCTAATTTTATTATATAATATCTCTAATTTAGGTCCTTGTCAGTTCATTTTTCTTAAATCTATTTTGTATGTAGTAATTTCGTACTGCACATTTTGTTTTTAAATTTATGCCATCTGTTTTAAGAAGTACATTTCATTAAAAAATAATATTAATAGAACGATTACATATTTTTTAGTAATTTTTTAATAGGTGTATTTATAAACATTTTTAAAATAATCACCATAGGTCTTAATAAATATTTGTTTTTTTTTACCAAATAGATATTCTAAATTTGACCATAACAAACTGACCAACAGAGATTGGAATTGAGAAAGTTTTTTATTTGTACCTTCAGAAGTGCTCTTAACCTGATTGAATGGAACAATCAGATGGCTCTGGAGTTCTTGAAGTGGAGAGATTGAAGTATCAATGGTTATTGTTTGCCCAGCTTGGTGTACCCACCTCTCAATGGGTATTTTTTTTTTTTCATCTTCCAACTAGCACATTACGTAGAGAAAATGAAACAGTTAACATGTTCAACTCAATCAATTATACTTTGTGTTTGAATGAATGTCCTGATTATCGTAATTTAAAACTAAAATCAAATACTTATTGTTTACCCATATGAAATAATTTGAATTTATTGTTATTCTCTATTTAATGGAGAGTTCAAAACCCATGGTTAAACATTTTTTAAATCTAACACTCTTTTCTTGGCGGCCATTTTGAAATAATGTTTCAGCTGAAAACATGCATTGAGAAAATGAATCTAACTCTAATAATTTTGTTGATATCAAACCAAATAAATGAATGGATTTAGAATAAAAAACTACAATCTTCCATGGAGATAGAATAAGAAAATAAAGATTATTATCGATATTGTATATAGAATGTATTTTTTCGTATTCCGACTCGCCGGAAGTATGCAGCTATTCATAATTTAAATTATGTTTGTATTCTGCTCAATAAAAATTATGATATTACCGTTTCAGTTGTCAGAATGACTAACTTCAATTTTAACTTTTTTTCACAATTTCAACAAAACAGTTCATAATTCAACAATGCAATAACTTACTGTGGAATCAACTAACTCACTGTCTGTACAGATATTACAAATGTTTAAACTAGAAATATTACTACAATGACTTTACTCAAAAATGTTGAAATTGCAGTTAATCATTATGTCAACTGAAAGAATCCTATAGAAAGTATTTTTTTTTTTTTTTTACTAATAATATCGATAACTGCTATTCGATAATATGAGATGATACAGCGACACACCTAGACCATTTGAGACATAGACTAAAATAATGATGAAGATTTTTCTCACACTTATTGTCTTTCAATACACCAGCTAAGAAGGTAGGACACTGGTTTAAGAAAAAGCAAGGAGACTTCTAGTGCTGTAAAAGTGTAAAAATAAAAAGAAACACATTTCACAAATGCCAGGTGGTGCCATAGTTGAAAAAAAAATGACTCTTTTCATTATTACACTTTTAAAATACTAAATGTCTTATTTTATGCCATTTTTGATGTTTAATTGTTTTGGAGGAGAAATGGTTTCACTTATCTTACTTCTTAAGTGATCAACCCTCACCATTATTTTAGTATTTATCTTAATTTGATGTCTACAAAATTACTAAAGTTAGAGCCATTTTTCCGAAATATGTTTTCAGCCAAAAAGCAAATTCAAAATGGCCGCTGAGGTAAAAGTATGAGCCTTAAAAATGTTTTAACTATAGTTTTAAACTCTATATTTAATTGGGCGTAACTGGTAAAAAACAAATACATGGTCTAGGTGATTTAAAGTGTATTGTAATGTTTTTGGATTGTAATTGAGATTTAAAGTGGAAGTCATGCTTACACTATATTATTTTCCCTCCAAACATACGTAAAACTCAGCATCACTAAACCGAGAAATAATAAATAATTTGTAATTATTAAAAGCAGCTAATATTACAAATCATTTTTTCTGAATCGTGTGATATTTCGAAAGATAATATTTTTCCTAAGAGATAAGAGAAATCTAAACAGCTCATGGACATCTAGGTTGTACTAAGTTTTGTACGAAACGCTCTCTAGTAATTATTTTTGAAGCCTTAAGATAGTTATGAACTATTTTCAAGTGTGCCACTTTGGATATATATATTTTTTTTTTGAAAAATTGTTTGCGTAAAAACCTGCTTGATAAACTGACAGACAATTTTTCTTTCGAATTAGGTGATAATATCTTGCACATCCACCAGACAAAACTTCTGCTACTTAAGAAATAAAAAAAAAAATGCTTTCTCTTGGACTAAGGTTGCGAGATCAAAAGAACAAGTAGTTGATTCGTTGAAGGAGTTCTAGAATGATAAATTATACAACAAGGAGCTATAATAGTTTGAGGACTTGAATATTCATTTTTTTGCAAATGGAACCAATTGTTGGTCAAGTTGTATTATAATCCTGAATAAGTAACTACAAAAAGGCAATAAAAAGATATTACAAAATGACAAAGCGAGCACAGAAGAAAAAAGAAGGTAAGTTGTAATGTAAATAGATATTTTACAAATGAAAAATTATTTTAATAATTATTCCTAGAATCGTAGAAAAGGAATTAACAATTGTAAATATGTTTCTGATGATGGCAAAGTATTTACCAAAACATTAAACAATATAAAGAAATGGGATAAATAAGAAAAATATAGAAGAGTAACAAGGAAGTTATAATTGCCAACTTCACCTATTACGAACAACTTTACGAAAATCTCTTAACAAAAGAAATAAAAAGAAGAAATTATATATTTTTAAAAAAAAAGATCCAATATAAATGTGTGTTCCAACATACCTGGTGCTTGCGATACCTGGTTGGATCATGCCTGCTTGGGTAATGAAAAGCACAGCAGTGATAGGCGTAAGTTAGTGACACCTGGAGAATGTGCTGAAACATATATATTAACTATATTTAAAATTATGATCGCAATAAAAATTAAAAAAAAAATCTAATATTTTGAAATTTTATCTTCCTATTTAAAATTCTAAGGGAAAAATACTTAATGTTCCCTTAAAAGTGTGCTGCCTAATTATATTTGGTTACTAGATACACAGCATACTAGTTAATCCTTTGACAATCAATAAAACCTGTATCTTGATCTTGGTGCTGATGGCTTCATTTGCAAAAAGTGTTTCGGATATGATTCTAGTAATATTTTTTGGTTTTATAACGGCTTTGGTCTGTAGTTCCAACTTTTTTCCACACTACAATTGCAACAGCACCCCTACGAAATTTTGTCAATTTTATTTTAATTTTGCAAGTGGTCAAGACCGTATGATTAGGAACCGATATAGGCCAAGAAGGTTCTCTCTTCTCCAATGATTAAACAAAATTTAACAAACAGTGCGAAAATCTAGCAATGATTAGCAAAAATTAATGAATTGTTGAAAGAACGATATCCAATGAGGATGGATTCAGTTTAGAAGATGTATGTGGTATACGACAATAAAAGGTATGTATAAAACACTTGGTATATATATTCTATATTAAATAAAATATATATACCAGTGGGTTCATTATATATTTACAATTAGTATAGTTCCTTAAAAGCATATGAGCATAGAAGATAATTAAGAATACGCGTATTACAGATAAGCAAACGCCCAATCGCTTGAGAGAAGCGGAAAACTGAGATAGCAAACCGGTGAAATGTGTATTTTTAATATTCTAGCACGTACTAAAATATGCTGAAAGCATCTAAAGAAAAACTACACAAATCAGTAGTTTTATTTAGGAACAACAATTTCACCCTAACATTGTTTTCTTGGTGAAAAAATCATTTGTGCCTACCCCTTTGTCATTCACGTTCCCGGAAATTTCTGTTCACGGAATCATCGACAAATCGGCTTTGAAATTAAGAAATAGGGAATGCACATCCTGATTAGTGTCTCAATCACCTCCCCCTCCACTCTCTCTCTCTCTCTCTCTCTCTCTCTCTCTCTCTCTCTCTCTCTCTCTCTCTCTCTCTCTCTCTCTCTCTCTCTCTCTCTCTCTCTCCTCTCTCTCTCTCTCTCTCTCTCTCTCTCTCTCTCTCTCTCTCTCTCTCTCTCTCTCTCTCTCTCTCTCTCTCTCTCCCCCTCTCTCGCTCTCCCTCTCGCTCTCCCTCTCCCTCTCCCTCTCCCTCTCCCTCTCCCTCTCCCTCTCACTCTCTCTCTCTCTCTCTCTCTCTCTCTCTCTCTCTCTCTCTCTCGAAATTTTCTTTAAGATTTAATTTCTGTGAAGTACAAATGTCATAACAAATAATGCATATTTTGATATATTGACTTAATTTCTATAAACTCAATATATAACTATATTTTTTTTTCTCCTCGATAGTAATTTATTTATATATTTTCTTTATTCCTTTTTAAAACATATATATTTTTGTAATAGTAGTTTTTAGATTGAAAAATAAATCAATCAGTACTGTTTGAGGGCAATGATAACCATCAGCAGTTATTTGTTCCTAAACCCAAAACAACAACAACAACAAATCATACATTTTAATTCATCAACAAATATTATATCAGCAATAAGTGTCAATCATAATCAAAGCACAAACATTTGTATGTCTTAGAATGATTATGAGTGCTTCCTACATTGAATATTCGATGATCGCGCAAAGATATAAATATTCATGAAGGAATAAGAATGTATCCTATCAGATTCATATTTATAAATGCCATCCAGCGAGCATTCAGAAGCGGACGGTTCCCGAATGTCGATTAATGGAGATGGATTACTTGTTTTCTCAGTGCTTTTGTCCACAGCGTGTTGATATTGGTAATCGATGAAAAAACAGAATATATTAAAGATTGAGAAAATAATATTTTTTCGATTCTAACTATACTAAATGAATGCTATGAAATAATATAGTCCGATTGTTTCTTCGCTTTTTTTTTTTTTTAGTTTTTTTTTTTAGTTTTGATACCACATGCTAAATGATAAATTATCAAAAACTAAATCATGCAATTATAAATGAACTGCAAACTGCAACGTTCTTTTGAATAAATTACACTCGTTTTTGAGTTACAATGGGTAATGATTAAATAGTACTTACCCAGGAATTGCCCACTTAACAAATTCGATAGAGTAAATTATTAAATCATTTGAATGCTTTGAATGAAGTTTGATGAAGTATACAAACATTTTTAAGACACCATAGAGGCTTTACATCTATATTAACTCTATAAATATTGACGTTAATATTACACTTTATCTAAAGTGTTTAAGAGAGTAGGAGATTCGTGGAAAAATGGAATATTGGTAGCCAGTAGAGAATAAAGATCTAAAAACAGAGATAAACTACGTGGCATTGAATAAAGAAATAGGGCTGTCGTTAGAAGGACTAGATGTGAATAGGAGAAGTATCAATCGGATCATAATGAATGAATCAAGAAAATAAGTAGCCATTAAATGGTAAATTGTTATGAGAAAGCAAAGAAAGAAGTTATGAAATTCAAATGACAAGTTTATTGGTAGTTGTTGACCTCGCGTTGCATAGTGACAATATAAAAATCAATATATCATATAGCATATATCGATGTAGAAATATATATATCTAGAAATAAGTTAAAATTATTAATATTTTATCAACCTTATCGCTATCCTGTACCCATCAAATTTAGCTTGGTCCTCATACTAAATAGTTTAACGAGTTCTGAGTTTATCGCCACAGGTAGAGAGGTCAAGGCTTGTTTAGATTTTCCCTGCTATGATTGGAAATAGGTATGCCGATATTTAAGATGTTATTTTGTTTAATTTAACTTTATACTTTTTTATGGATCTTTGCGTTATTATTTCTGTATAATTATTCTATTTATTTTTCTCTATTTTCTTTAAATATGATGTAAATGGACGCTTTTATCATTAGTAATATTCCTTATATGTGACAGAATATAAATAATAATAAAAAGAAATATACATTTCTGATATAACCTTTTTTATATCACCTGTATTTTCTAATTAATTTTCTTCGACATCTACCAGTTTTTAAAATGAAATTTATTAGCTTTTCGTTTACCTTCTGTTCCAAGAAAGTCCGAAATCTAGTTTTAAAATCTAGCTGTTTCGTCAGTAGAAATTTATTCATTGGTCAAAATGGAATAAAATTGAAAGGGATGTTTCCATCTATAATTCCGAAATATTCCACCTCAGTGAATTCCCAGTCAAACATTCCAGCACCAGGACTGTATGTCTACAAATAATAAACATATGGACCTATTGAATATTCAATAACCTGATGGAATTGAGGGGATTTGTCCTTGAGCACACCGCTTCCCGAAATATTTAATTTATGCCGAATTACTTATCGTATCTTCGGCCAAGCATAAAATGAACCAGCGATTTTACGCTTGGTTGAAAATCCGATAAGTAAAAGGTGTAAAGCTATATTTTGACTTGTTATATTTTTCACAAAAATGGATTGTTTATGTAGTTTGGGCACTCATAGAAGGTTTTCCTTAACATGGTTCGGATTTGAATATCTATTAACAACAGTAAATTATCACAACTTGGAGGTATTTGTTTTCTAACACAAAATAAGGCACTCTTCTTTTTTATATTCACACCACTGCAACTACATATAAAATATACTCCCGCCCAACCTGATGTAGCGGTAAAAAAAAAAAAAATATTAACATCCTTAAAAGCACTTCAACTTAGTGAGACTCTTAACCACTGTTTATAAATTTTTGTGTTCCAAATCGATAGATTTTAAATATATTGAAATGTAGACAAAATGGTTTTTGTTTATTATTTTTTTTAAATTGACAGAATCTCAATAAAACAAATCTATTTGAAGTAAAATTGATCCTAGAAATAAAATAATTATCTTTCATTTGTTTCATAGAAAAATTAATGAAAAAATACTGCGTAAATACCGATTCAGTACGGATGAGAAGAGATTAATTTCGGTGAAAAATAACATAGGAAAAAAAACAACATGATTTTGTGAATAACTGATAAGATTGTTGGTGGAAATTTTTGTAAATCGTTAAATTAAATGGGCCCAAAAATATTATTTCTTGAATTAATATGTATATAACTTTCAATGATTAAGTTGTGTTAGGGATACCGCTGGGTATTGCTATTCCTCATGCCTTTCAAGCGTTTTTATTTATTTATTATTATTTTTTTTTTCTCTCATTACTACGCCAGCACATCTGCTGATTGTCAATCATAATTGACAGGTTCGGATAGATATATGTAAGTCCAAAAAATAAAAAAAAAGTTGTGTTGTATTTTGATTTTTCCGCAATATTGAGATTTTTGATTAATGATATTGAGTTCTTAATTTTATTATTTTATACCCTCCGTATCATTATTATTATTATTCCTTATTATATTATTATTACCAGCTCTCTCGCTTAACCGGCGATGTCTCGGCTCCTAAGAGGACGGATATACGGGGGTCTTCTGTATGTGTATATAGATATTAAGATTCCTATTTTACAAATAAATTCTACCTCAACTGATGACAATACATGGGTATAGTAGATATTGTTATTATTACAAAATAATATAACAAACCGCAAACAGTGCATTAACTATTCTTAAATTATAAGAGAAAAAAAGTACTAGTCATCATTAATTTATTCCTATTCCTTTTAATGAAAATCTAATTCCACTGACTGTAAGTTCCACTAAGCCATAGAGTATATAAAACCAGGTGTCCTCACTAGAAAAGCAATTACAGTTGAGGAAAACAAGTCGCCACATGGTTCAGTAGAATGTCTAGAATTTGATGCGCTCTGGACTGAAGTGCCCCGTAAAAGCTTCATGAAGCTGTTTAATTTATTCCTTCGCACTTAGCTACATATAAAGGATTACAAATGTCATTAAAGCTTGGAATTTATGTAGAGCTAAAACGTGTGTGAAATATATTAATGCAAAATTTCTTAAACTTGTGTATTCCGCGGACCCCTCAAGTACATTATGTTTTTTTGCGGACCTCATTTTGTCTGTAAGTATTTTACCTCATAT